TGAGCACAAAGGAAAATCTGCTTAGCCCTTACTTTCTCACACATGTTTCAGATGTGCAGGGGTGTGATTGTAAACAATGTCATCAGCCGTGCCAGAGCTGTCTGCTCCTACCGCGCTCTGTTCCCAGCACCCCAGGGGTTCCAGTAATAGGGCGTAAAGCAAACAAAGCAAAACAGTAATCTGCTGTTCCAATTGCATTTTTGTTTTTAGAAAATGTTAATGATAGGTTATGTGATTACCCTAGGTTTGGCTCCACTTACTCTTTATTAAGCACATCTGGTATTTAGTAACAGTGTAAGTAGCAGGAGTTTTTCTGGCGCGCAAATAAGATTATCCAATGTTGCCATGCAGCATGGAAACTCCTCAGGGAAGCCAGTAAGCTGTGCGGAGATACAAGACTTTCTTGTCGGCCGGGCAGCCGGCCAGGATAGCTGAAAAATGTGGATTGGCATGGAGCTGTTGCCACGCAAACACTTCTGGAAATTTCTGTGTCAAGGCCTGCCAAATCCTTTATATGTAACATGAGTTTCTGTCTTCCTCAGCAGCCCATTCTGAGCCTAAGCTCTCCTGTGCGCTTTAAAAAGGAAAGAAAAAAAAAAAAAGAAAAGAAATCCGATGCAATCCTTGGGTCCTGTTTCCAGAGCACCACTGCCAAGCTAACGATTTCACTGAATTAGGGGGAATTTCCTCAAACATTCGCCTGAGCTACATTAAGTACAACATGTGGGAGACAACTGTGTTTCCTGGAGAAGAAAGGAAAGCTGTCTCATTCGGTGGAGACTGCCCAGCGTCTAGCGAGAGAAAAACAACCCGCCATGACAAGAAAATGTTTTTTAAAACTTGGCAGAAGAAGTGGGTTTTATTTATTTTGAACTTCTTTTCTGGTCTGGCCAACGTAGCTCATGGCGAGCACGGTGGCAGAGGGAAGAGGTGTTGCCGCTGGAGCCTGCAGCATGGAGCCAGCAGGTCTGGGCTCTGTTTCTGGCTCTGCCATGGCGTTAGCCTTCCTGTGAGGCTCAGCAAAGGCCTCAGAGCTGGGTCCCATCAGGACCTGAGCTCCTCTGCGGGTTTAATAGAGGTAGTGTTTGCTGGTTTCATATATATTTGCATGCATGTAGGCTCTGCATCCAAAAATCACTAATCCTCTAGGTTCCTTAGGGGAAGCGCTGGGAAGGATATGGAGCAGAAAAGCAAACGTTCGTCTGTTGCTCCGCTGTACTTGGCTCCTACTCTTGCAAGGCACTGGCCCTGAGAGCTTTAAACTTGGTTGCTCAGCATCTGGGGATCTTAGTGGGTGTTCCTTACAAACCCCGGTCAGCGCTGGCTCTCCCGCTCTAACAATGGGACACACATATTTACAGCACAAGATTGTTGACTTAGTGATGGTGCCCTTGGGAAACAGTTAGCCCAGCCAGTTTCTAGATTTTTTTTTTTCAATGAAAAAAGTATTCAGAGTAGAAGCTGGTCATGAGCAAAGGAGATTCAGTACAGCAACTTAACATCACACTGTACACAATTTCTATATGGCTGGTGTCCAGCTCCAGCGCTCCGTTTCTGTGTGGCTCTCCTGTCGGTGGGCCAGTTCACAGCACGGTGGGGAAGTCCCTGGATGAGGCCCACAAAAGCAGTGCAAAAAAACCTCCCGCCAGGCACTGGCTGGAGCTGCCTGGTGTCTTAGCTGTCCTCTGCGGTGAACTTCTGATGCAACTTCCAGCCACAGGAAAGAGCATCTCATCCAAAGAGCTGACTTGCCTCCAAGCTGCATACCAGCATAATGGGAAGAGGGGATCTGGCTCTACTGCAGTGTGCCTGTGACCAGAGGAACCTCTCTACTACCAGGAAGGACAAGAGAAGGGGTATCAAGCAGCCTTTTGTCTGTGCGGCACCAAGCACTCGAAAAGCAGAAGAGGATTAACAACAGCGGCACAACAGCCATAGCTGCTAAAGGAGAAACTGATAAGCTGGGGATTTTCCTGTCTGCTGACCCACTCTTTGATACTTACAACTAATAACCTCCCTGTGAGTTAGATTGCACACAAGCAGAGCTTCTTTTCAACCTAGTCTGTAAGTGTCCTTCCCATGATGGTGGCTCCTTTGGCTGTAGTGACATCTGAAGCTTGGGAGGGACGTCTTGCTGGGTATCCAATGGGTAGAGACAGAAAAGATTTCCAGGGCAATGAGGTGAGAGAGGATGAGAATGACTTACAGTGTATGTAAGGGAAGGATTTCAAAGACAGGTTGGATGGGGCTTTCGGCAACCTAGAAGATGTCCCTGCCAATGGCAGTGGGGTTGGAATGTGGTGATCTTTAAGGTCCCTTCCAACCCAAATTGTTCTGTGATTCTGTTATTTCAAGAATCGGGAGGAGGAAGTTGCATGACTTGGAGTGAGAGAAGTGAATTTCCTCAGGGAGGTAAAGACCAAAGAAAAGAAAACATCAGGCAGGAAGAACTGGGGTGGAGAGGGAGAACTGACAAGCAGGAGCAAAGAAATTGAGGAGGATAGTTGCCAGGAATTAGTGGGAATGGGTAATGAGAAAAGAGGGAAGTAGGTAAAACCACTGTGAATAGAAAAAGAGCAAGAGAGGGAGCATAATGGACAAGAGAAGAGAATTATTTTGGGAAGAGAGAATACAGACCAGGAGAGAAAAGAATGATATGGAGAAGACAAATATATCGGAGGTGAAAAGAGGGCAAATAAGAGAGAGACATGGGAGAAAGCAGGTAAAGCAAAGAGACTCACGCTGCTCTTAAGTCAGTGAAGTTTCTTCTTACTGGTTCAGTATTGTGTTGCAATGTCCCAAGAGACATTTTGTTTCTGTGCTTCTTTTGACCACTTCTGGCTGATCATTATGAGTTCCATAACAAAGCAATTATAAGAGAAGGAAGAGAAAATAGCTTAAAAATCACCAGAATGTGTCACAAGGCTTTGTCTGAAGGACTGCTCCCTTCAGAGGGAATTGTTTCTAGAAAATAATTCAGATGCTGACATCCCCAGTGTGCATGTGGCCATCCTTGACGTTGCCTGGGCAAGCTGTTGGGGCTCAAAGATTTCTGAGCCCTCCCACCCACTTTGTTGTAAACGACTCTGTTCTGCCTGGGAGGGACGATGAGGAAGGGAGGATCCCAGCAGATACCTCTTGCCAGAATGCTTGAGAATCCCAATGCTGGCTCTGATCCTGCAGGACTTAACCAACATTTGTTGAAAGTGGAGCAACTCAGAGTGCATGGTGGCTTGGCTCCACACACCACTCAATGGGAAGTCAGAAAAGCAGGAGCAGGCAGTGGGTTTCTGTTCTCATCTGACCCTTCTTTTCTTTCCATGTTTTGCTTATATTAACTCGGTGTCTTTCATTTACTTACTGAAGTGAGACATAAACTTTTTAAATTCAGGAAGCGGATGGACCTGGCAATTACTGCACCGCTAAGAAACATGAAGCCCTTTTCTCTGGAATTATATAATCCCTGCTATGGATATGGGAATTGAACAGTATCTTAACAATATCTTACAACAAAGGGGCAGAGCAGTTTGATTAATATAAGAAAGGCGTGTGACTATTTGGCATGTCTTGAACAGCTGTTCCATGGGATAGCAAATCTGACATAGAATGCCGTGCGCTGGGCCAGGACATCACAGCCAGGTGCTGCCAAGCACTTACCATGCTGGTTCAAATATGTTTGACAAATTCTGGCAGACATCATACCGAGTCAGGTAACGTCTGTCTGCCAATCAGCACAAAACTGGCATAAATACCACACTGTGCACTCTGGCTATTTCAACAGAAACGTAATTGTGTGCTTAGGTCAGATCTGGATCCAGCATGCACAAGAAGGTGCTCCTGTGGTGCCAAAATCTCATATTAATGAAGCTGGAAGTGGAGCCATGGGCATTAGCTGCATGCTCTGAATTCTTAGGAGTGGCAGCAGTTTATGGAAGTGGCTTTTTCAGAACAATCATGAAAGACCATATTATTTTTTTTTTCTGGGGTGACAAAATTATTTCCTTTGTTTTCAATAATCTTAGCATTTGCAAATACTGGGTCAGTCCTTTTGTTTGCTGCACTTGTGCTCTCACTGCAGCCAGTGCTAGAACAACTGGTTCCTCTGCTCTCCATCACTGCTTTTGTCCAGTGCAGCTATGCCAGCCTACTTAAAGATGCTGGCCAAGCATCGTGTTGACCGCATAGCTGTGAAAATAGTGGACCATGCACAAATTGTTGCTTAAACTCAAAAATTTAGCTCATGGAAGATAGAAGGAAGTAACTTGTTGGATCAAACCACCCCCTTCCACACACACACCCTCCCTTGCTTGGTCTTAATGTACATATTCCAGTCATTGCCAGAACGGCCTTGCATATTTTCTTGTTAAAGTTTCATGACCAAATTGAAAATAAGCTTGGAATGATTTCTCTGCCTCTGGGGAAAATCATAGACTCTCGACATTATGCTTAACCATCCCTGCTAGAGATGAGTTATTCCTGGGGCTCATAAAGCATTCTTGAAAGAGTAAAAATTTTGCCTTGTGACTGCAGCATATTGCAGCAAGCATTGAGCACTTTCAAAACAATTTCCGGCAAGGATGTGAAAGGTAGACTGAGATTCAAGGAGACACGTTTTTCTCCACGCTCCCAGCCCTCCTTCCCTGTTCCGTAGGAAATACAGCACAAGACAGAAATCTCAGTAGACTAAGGGGAATACTTCTCCTCATTTTAGAAAGGAAAGCGAGTCTCCAAAATTGAAGCTAAACCTGGTAACTGTAATACCACTTGGCACTTACATGCAGGTTTTCATCTTCAAGCCACTTTACATTAAGAAATGAATCCTCAGGACTCCCCTGTGGAGTAGGTGGCTGAGTATTATCAGGCCCCTTCTGCACATGGAAAACTGAGGCGGAGATGTTAAGTACCTTGCCTAAAGCCACCAAGGGATTCTGTTGCAGAGATAGGATCAGAGGTTAGTAGTTTTTGCGCATTCAATTCCCATGTCTATTGTGTCACTTCAGTACAGAGCCAAAATTGAATATGGTGATGACCCAGGAGTGGAGTGATTCTAGCTGGTCAAATCCGTGCACGGCTCTTTCAGTGGTCAGAGCCATATGGCTGCATACAATGGAATGGAGAAAGAAGACCTAACAGGTAGGATGAAGAAGTGTCACTCTCTTTGACTTCCCTAAGCACATGTTGGTCACTAGACCAGCTCTCCTGTAGCTGAGTTTTCATGTAAAGGTACAAGGCTAAATATTTTCCTTGGTGGCTCTTTTCACAGAAAGAAATACACCTTTAGATGGAGATGCTGCAAAACAGAAGACTCCCTCTACAGCTAATTCATGCTTGAGCAGGAGCGTGAAATCAAACCCAGACCCTGTGCCCTAGGCTAAAGCAATTTCTTGAATAGTTTTAGAACTGTTTAGAACCCTGTGCTCTGTGGTCCTCACATTATGCAGTCTGAGGAGTCTGGATGTCCATCCAGCAGGACATGTGGGGTTGGATACAGCCCTGTTCTGAAGACATCAAGATGGAAGGAGTAGGAAGCCTGTACAGACTCTGGGCACATCATCTGATGAGGAACACAGGTACTCTGCACAAGACTAATGGGGTTTTACACACCTCACCTCACTCCCTGACTAGAACGCGTCTGGGACAGGCAACGCATATCAAAAAGAGAGCTCAAGGTGAAAACGAGAGAGGTAAACTGTTACCAATTGCCACACAGTTGCTGCTAGGAATAAAAGGAACAGCATTCCCATTAGTTCATGAAAGAATGCTCCAGTTTCAGTATTCTTCAGGGAAAGACAGGCTGACTTTTCCTTTACCAAATGCCTATTTCAACCAGCAGCATTTCCTGCATGTCGTAGAACCATGTTGCTGTCACGTGAAGATGTCATCAGGCATTAAAGCGTAAGAACAGGCTTGTATCTCCCACAAGCTGCCAATGTATATTTATGGGTGTATATTTAGGATGATACATAATAAAGGAAATGTTCCTGTAATGCTTTTGATTGCTGATGTTTTATTTCTGACCCTTGCATTACTGTGGAACTGGAACGAATACATCCATCTACCCTCTGACTGCAGCTCTTCACGTAGCACACATAGTATTCTAGTTGGGAATTTTGCACCTGAGGGGGCTTTCGTTTTGGAACAGAATCAGAGGGTTTGAAAATGGAGACCAATCAACAGCCAAGGTTTACTGTGTTTATGCTCTGGAAAAATGGAAATCCCCAGCTGCTGCATGAAGTGGCCTGGGTAAGGATGATTCTTGCAGTGAGAATACAGAACCGTGTTTGCACTGAGAGAGAGAAGCTGGCATCCACCCACTCCTGGAATTTTGTCTAAGGATTTTGCCCTGAAAATGGCCTAGTTTTACTAATTGGTCACTAGAGATTATGAACATCAGCCTTGCGTGAACATTTCAAAAAGATACTATGGTGATCTTTCTGGAGTTCTCTGAATTACTCCAGGAGCAGGCCGATGAATTGGGTGGTTTCAGTAAGAGAAACTGAGTGATAATGTCTGAGTCACATTAATTGGACTGTCAGAGGTTACTGGACCGCACCAGCAGGGCAGTGAAACTCGCAGGGCACTGTCGCTGGCTGATATGTATCTTGTATTTTAAAATTTAACAATATAACTCCACCTAGACCAGAGTATTAATTTGTCTGGAGACTTTTTGCTTGAGCTATGTGTTGTCTGGAGAAGAGATTCCACCATTCAGCAGTCCCGAGGAACCCAGCTGAGCTGTGTGCACATTCAGAGTATATCCCTTTGGCTGGGGTCCTCATGAATGAGCCCCTGCTGACCAACCCCCATGCTCAGAGCTCAGACCATTGACTGCAGTGGTGATTCTCTGCATTGTATTTATGGTGATCCAATTTTTGCTGAACATTAAAGTTTCCAACTGTGCAAAGTGTTTATGAAGCACACAACACGTCTGACTGAGTAAAAGATGCTCTTAATATAATGTCGTATGAGCATGTGGAAAAAATAATGGAGACTGTTCTCCATTCAGAATTCAAGCACAACAAACTGTAATTACATCAACGTTTTAAAAATGTGTTTGTTCTTAAGCATTTTGTTAAATATTAAGGAAACATAAGCACGTATGTTAAAAATTGTGCAAATATCTTATGGATTGTATAGAAGAGACTGAATTTTCTTTTCCCAAAGGCATTGTATCATAATTCCATGAGGTCACTACTAACTGCCATTGTGGAGGACTGGGCCTGTGGTTCCCCCCCTCCATGCATGCAAGGGCCGCAAAGGGAAGATACATCTGGAGCACTGCCATGTGTATGGTGTTTGCAAATGTACCTTAAGCTGTATGACTCTTTCCTGCTTATTCTAAAGTGAGCAAAACCAGCGAAGCCCTTTGTTTAAGAATAGAGGCTCCTTGGTCATCAAACATTTCATCTCTTCATGAGTTGAAGAGAGGGTAACATTGCTGTTTTAATGTTCTGTACTGGCCTGTTTCATGAGGCTGTTATAACAAGACCATCATTCACACCGACCATATTCTTTTTCAAAACTAGAGGCAATTACTTGGTCATTAAAAGCATTGCATTGCAGCGGAGGACACTTTTTTTGTCAGCATCAGAGAATGGAAATTCTCCAAGGTGGGAGGTCAGTTATATCAGGCACACTGCTCGTGGATCCATCAGGATTGCTGCAGAAACTGCATGCGACTGAAGAACTATGGGGTGAGTAAGGCTGGAGATTGTCTGCCAAAGCACTGCAGCGGGAATGCCTCTGTAAGTGCATACTGAACCCATTGAAAAGGTGTGGAGGCTGAAGGAGCTAGCATGCAAGCTGAGAGCTGCACTGATGGTGGGCTGAGAGAAAAGAGTTAATATCAGACCAGGCAACAGTGTGTGGATGTGTGGGGAGGGTGAATGCAAGGAGTCATGTCTTCTGGAGAGCCGTCAAGTAAGAAGTTACGAGGCCAGACATTGTCTTCAGAGCCATTGTTGCTCTGGACTGGGCCCATCTTGGGGGGAATAAAGAACAGAGCGGGGAGCAGAAGCAGCATTGTGCCATGGCGGCTGCTGGCAAAAGAGAAGCAGGAATGCAAGGCAGTGCCTGGCAGATGTGTGAGGTTGTGGCCTGGTGATGGTGAGCATCCCAGGGGAGCTTCATGCCATGTGGCTGCTCAAGCAGCTATGGGCTAAGAGGGCGGACACTGATGTCCTCTGGTTTCAGTGCCAGAGGTTAAGGTAGGGGGTTACTTTGTAAGGTAGTGGCAGTTACTGGGTCAAATCAACTCTGGCTGCTGTGGAAAGGTTGCCCTGAGTGTGGCCTGGGAGGGTTGCCATTTTCATCTTCCTGTAAATGGATTTTCTTGTAAGTACCCAAAATACCAACCTAGCATTCAGGCTGTTCTGTGAAGCTGACTCCCTCTGGAAAACCTGAACAATGAGGTCAGCATTCTTTCTGCATCTGCCAGGAGTCAACACAAGAGCAAATAGTACTGAAACAGCTTTTATTTTGAAGTGTTCTTTTCCCAACTTTAAAACTTTAAATTTTATCTGACAAAAGAGATATAGGAGGAAGTGGTGCATTGGCTTGCAAGGTGCCAGCCGCACTAGGCATTGGATACAGGCTGGAATTCAACTATTTTATTACCCACAGTGTTCACATCAAAATTTTCTTGGGGGCAAGAACAAACTTAGCAGCTTTCACAGTTAGGATACCAACATCATGGGAAATAAATTGGTGTGGGGTTGCTGCTGACAGGATGCAGGCTGGTGACCTTGTAAGCTGCAAGGTTCGTGGTTTGTGACCCCGTGAGCTGCACTATCAGTAAGCAGCAAAGCAGTGCCCTGGAGTGGTTTTGGGGTGCAGTTAAGGACTGGAAGTGCTTTCCCTGACATATGGTGTAAATCTGAGGCTATGCTCAGTGGAGGTTACTGAAGATTTCATCCTTCTTCTCCTCTAAGCAAGCCAAATTACTGCTTAGATAATGACATAGTAATTCAGGATCCCTGGATTCCTTTCCTGGATACTCCCCTGCACATTTCTTTTCTCAAGGTGCTGATGTCGGTGTCCGCTATGACAAATTGTCATGCTGACTCTGGAGCTGACGTGCTTTGACTGCTGAATGCCATGCCTGGCTGGGAGTCCTTCACCCAGCCTTGGCGCCGTGTATCCGGGCTCTCCTGTCTGACTTGTGAGACTTCATTAATCCCCATGGAGCCCTTGGGAGCTCATAGAGAATTGCAACATGTCGTCATTAGTACACAAAGAAACATTTTATCCCATATTATTACCAATAGCCCATTTTATTTTCCACCCCCATTTTGCTTGCGTATCATTCAATGGAGCAACTGGAAGGCTCTTCTTTCCCGGGTGGACACCCAGCCCTTCCCAGCATGTGGCCCTTGCTTGGGCTCACTGTGCTTCAGGGCGTACGTGGGTCTGTGCAGAACCGTGTGCACACATGTATACCTGCAGAAGCGTGCTTGGGGTGAGTTCCAGGTTAGCCATTAGATTTCCCCCGCTGTTACTCTACTGTACATATTCCTGGTAGATTAGAGCAGATTTTTTTTTCATACGCTCTTCTATAAAAAGTGTGCTGTATTGATTGCAGCAGAGTGAGCTGCTGTGGTTGATATCCGAGTGCTAACCCAGATAGGGATTAGCATTACATCAGACATCAGGCGAGGGAACCTGGCGAGCTGCCAGCCTGTAAAAATGGAAGGCATTTGCGTCACTGTTCCCTTGGTAATGCTTCTTGGAGCCATGTCAGCTGTCCCCCGAGGCTGTTTCCTTAATATGTCAACAGACATTCCTGAATCTTTAATGCTGAATAGCTCTTTTTCCTCTTCCAAAAACACTTAGGTGACAGAGTAGCTAGTGTCTCCCACTGCCTGGTACATTAAAAAATTATCTGTCTCTGTAGACTGGGCTTAATATCTCTTGGGGGAGGACTACGGAATTTACGGTCGGTTCTGGGGGAAGCAAAAAGCCCATCTGCAGTGCGATTGCTGTTTGTGTGCACTGGGAAAGCGGCAGCCCTGCTCGAAACCACTCCTTTTTTGCCTCCAAAGCATCCCACTGGAGTGAATGGAAGCGTCTGTGTTAGATTACTTGTTGGAATTTGCTAACATTTGGGGTAAACCATCTGACCTTGCTTTAGGAATGCAAGTTAAATACAATAACTTCAGGTTAATGCCTGAAAGCTCCAGGACTGTGTGTGCAGTGACCTCTAGCTTCCGGAAGCCATTTGTTAGTGCCAATTGTGAGAAATACTTGGAGGTTTTCTCCAATGACATTTTCACCTTTCTGCTTCTCCGTGCAGCCAGCTGCTATTTCTGCCTGAGGAATCTAAATGCGAGAACGTACAGTTTACCAAATTTGAACGTGTGCCCTTTCAGCTAAAAGTAAACATCCCCTATCTCAAAGACCTTTTGTTCTTAGGTGACAATTTCAAGTTTGCCTCGCAGTTGCTGTAGTAATTAATCACAGCAGTGTAATTTAATACTTTGAGAAGAGCAAGAGGAGACGTCATTCTGAGAAATCACTTTGTGAGTAACTCAGTTTTGGTCAAGGAGTGTTACTCAGCACTCCTGAGAATGTATCACTGTCATTTCACCGACCCCAGTCAGATCAGAGAGAAGTGCTGCCAGTTAAAGCCCGGCTCTGCCAAGGCACTGCAAGCACTGCTATGTTGCACTCTTCATCCAGCACTGAAGAACTTCCATTTTTTTTTTTGCTTGAGGAATTTGATCCCAGTGGTGGAATTCACCTCTTCTGTAGCACCCCACAGAGAGCTGTTTCCTTGGGCTGCAGAAGGCATCAGCACTCCTGAAGCTCCAGCAGCAGGGGGAGGAAGATGGGGTGGGATGGAGTGGGAGGTGTGCGGGGTCCCAGCGGAGCCAAGAGGTCTCTGTCTGCAGTTGCATCAGAGCTGAGGGGCGGGAAAAGGGTTTCTGAGCGACCCAGTGTAGCAGCCTAAATTAGCAG